CCAGCTCTCTGCTGTGGCCCAGGAAGGCAGTGGAGGATGGCCCAAGTGCCTGGGTCCTGCACCCACATGTGAGACCAGGAGAAGCACCTGGCTCCTGGCTTCGGATCAATGCAGCACACCAGCCATAGCGGCCATTTGGGGGGTGAACCAACGGGAAAAAGGAAGACCTTTCTCTCTGTCTCTAACTTTGCCTGTCAAAAAAAAAGAAAAAAAATTTTTATATTTCTTTGAAAGGCAGAGTTAGAGAGAGAGAGAGAGAGAGTCTTCCATCCACTGGTTCACTCTCCAATTGGCCACAATGGCCAGAGATGCGCTGATCCAAAGCCAGGAGCCAGTAACATCTTACCAGGTCTCCCATGTGGGTGCATGGGCCTGCTTTCCCAGGCCATAGCAGGGAGCTGGATTGGAAGAGGAGCAGCCGGAACTCTAACCGGTACCCATATGGGATGCCAGCACTGCAGGCGGTGGCTTTACCTGCTACGCCACAGCACTGGCCCCTACACTGTGCTTTCAATCCAGCTTCCTGCTAATGTACCTAAGTGGCAGTGAATGATGACCCAACTATTTGGTTGGGTGACCTAAATGGAATTCTTTGTTTCTGGTTCAGCTTGGCCCAGCCCTGACTGTTGTGGGCATCTGGAGAGTGAACCAGCAGATCAAAGATCTTCCATCCCCCACATCCTTCCTCTGATTCTCCCCATGCCTTTCAAATAAATAAATACACACACACACACACACTCACTCTCTCTCTCTCTCTCTCTCATACTTTTTAAAATGAGTATTGCTGTGGCATAGCAAGTAAAGCCACTGCCTGCAACACTAGCATCCCTCGTGGATGCCATTTTGTAGCCTAGCTGTTCCACTTTTGATCCAGCTCCCTGCTAATGGCCTGAGAAAGACAATGAAAGATGGCCCAAGTACTTGGGACCCTGCCATCCATGTGGGAGACCCTGAAGAAGCTCCTGGCTCTGGCCTGGCCCGGCCCAACTCTGACCATTGCAGCTATCTGGGGAGTAAAGCAATGGATGGAAGGTCACTTTCTTTCTGTGTCTCTCCCTCTCTCTCTGTTAACTTTGCCTTTCAAATAAATAAATACATCTTTAAAAAAGCATAGTGTTATATACCAGTAGTCAATCATCTAAAAAAGAAATCAGGAAAGCAATCCCACCTCCAATAGCTATACAATAAAATACTTGGGAATAATAAATTTAGTCAGAGGTGGAAGATTTTGATATTGAAAAGTATAATAATCACTAATGCAAGGAAATGGAAAGACATCCCCTATTCATAGATTGGGAGAATCAACATCATTAAATCGTATACACTACCCAAAGCGATTTACAGATTCAATACAATCCTTATCAAAATCCCAGTGACACTATAAAAAACAATAAAAAACACTACTAAAATTCGTATGGAATTGTGAAAGACTCCAAACAACTGAACAGATTTTGGGCAAAAAAGAACAATGCAGGACACATTATATTATCTGGTTTTAAACTATATTACAAAGCTACATTAATTAAAACAGCATGGTAGTGGCATTAAAAACAGAGCCATAGGGGCCGGCCTTGTGGCATAGTAGGTTAAGCTTCCACCTGCAACACTGGCATCCCATATGGGCACCGGTTGAAGACCAACTGCTCCACTCCAATCCGGCTCCCTGCTAGTGGCCTGGGAGAGCAGCAAAAGATGACCCAAGTGCTTGGAAGCCTGCTATCTACATGGGAGACCCAGATGAAGCTCCTAACCCTGGCTTCAGATGGACCCAGCTTCGGCTGTTGTGGCCATTTGGGGAGTAAATCATTAGATGGAAGAGCTCTCTCTTTTGTCTCTTACTTTCTCTGTAACTCTGCCTTTCAAATAAATAAATAAATAAATCTTAAAAAAATATATACCAATGGACAATGATATTAATATAATGTATACTTCTCCATTAAAAGAAAAATCTTGAAGATACAATTTTGGATGCTTTCACTATAAAGAAATGTTAAACTCTTGAAATGTTAAGTATATTTATCTTGATTGGATATTACAGAATGTATACATGTAATGAAACATCACCTAGTATCCCTTAAATATGCACAATTTTTACATGTCAGTTAATGGGTTTTTTTTTAAATAAAGGTGGACATGTTACAAAAGGTTAAGCTGCAGCATGAGATTCATGCATCCCATATTGGAGTGCCTGGTTCAAGTCCTGACTACTCCACGCTTCCAATCCAGCTTCATGTTAATGCATCTGGGAGACAATAGTGACAGCCCAAGTTTGTGGGATCCTGCCACCCTTGTGGGAGATCTGGATGGAGTTCTTGGCTCAAGGTTTCAGCCTGGTGATGCCTGTTGTAGGCATCTGTGGGAGTGAACTAGCAGATAGAAGATCTCTGTATCTGTGTGTCTGTCCCACTTACTCTGTCATTCTGCCTTTCAAATAAATATTAAAAATTTTTTTGTTCATTTACTTGAAAGAGCTACAGAGAGAAAGAGAGAGAGAGATCTTCCATCTGCTCATTCATTCCCCAGATGGGCTGCAAAGGCCAGTGCTTCTGGCAGGGGCCAAACACTTGAGCCATAATCTGCTGCTTTCTCCCAGGTCAACAGCACAGAGCTGGATAGGAAGTGGAAGCAGCTGGGACACAAACCAGCACTCACATGGGTAGCCAGTTATAGCCGGCAACTTCACCTGCTACACTGCAACACCAGCCCTAAAGAAATAAATATATGTAAATATAAATATATATATATATAAGGCTTTTTAATGAGAAATAATAGTAGGTATTGTAGTGCAGTGGGTTTAAATTGCTGCTTTGGATTCCTGCATCCCATTCAGTGCTAGAGTCCCAGCTGTTCCTTGTTTCCAATCCAGCTTCCTGCTAATGTACCTGGAAGGCAGTGGATGATGTCTAAAGCACTGAGGTCAGTCTCTGCCACCCATGTGGGAGACCTGGAAGGAGTTTCTGGCTCCTGGCTTAAGCCTGGCCCAGTCCCAGCAATTGTGGGCATTTGGGATGTGAACCAGCAGATCAAAAATCTCCCTCTCGGGGCCGGCACTGTGGCATAGTGGGTAAAGCCATTGCCTGCAGTGCCGGCATCCCATATGGGCGCCGGTTCGAGTCCCAGCTGCTCCACTTGCGATCCCGCTCTCTGCTATGGCCTGGGAAAACAGTAGAAGGTGGCCCAAGTCCTTGGGCCCCTGCAACCCACATGGGAGACCCGGAAGAAGCTCCTGGCTCCTGGCTTTGTATCAGCACAGCTCCAGCCATTGTGGCCAATTGGGGAGTGAACCAGTGGATGGAAGACCTCTCTCTCTCTCTCTGCCTCTTCTCTCTCTGTGTAACTGACTTCCAAATAAATAAAAAAAATCTAAAAAAAAAAAAAAAATCTCCCTCTCCTTCCTTACTTTCCTCTCTCCATCTCCATCATTTAGCCTTTCAAATAAATAAAATCTTTTTAAAAAATAGAGATAGAGAGCAAGCAAGCAAGCCAAAGCCCTTTAGAGAAATGGCTGGTTCCATATTTGGGGCAAAAAGAGTTCAGATGAGCTTAAAGTTTTGTCACCATTCTAGATAGCAAGAAAGCTAATAAACACTCTTAAATTTGTATTAAATAGATGCAGAGCCCAATCTAAAGAGATTTCTGGTAGCTAATGAAGGGATGATTTGACTACCAATAAGGATAATAACTGCAAAGGAGTGAAATTAATCAAATGTTTAAATCTGTAATAATTCACACCTTCCTGCTTCTCCCCATTCAAAAAGCTTTTTCAGGTTACTAATGGATGATCTGTTAAGGATCCTAAGGAATCAACTTTACTGTGAAAATCAGTTTTCCTATACTGTATGTAACCGGTCAACTTATCGAATAAGGAAGTGTCTCTATAGAATTATTTCAACAAAATTGAAGGACTGAATTAGGGTATCACCATTTGTAACTAATGAATTGAGGAGCTAAACGCTGACAAACAGTAGCTGCTAAAGTCAATAAAACAAAGATAATCAGACACTATGAGACTCTTGATAAACATAACACTTATGAAGCAATATTCCCCAAAAAGAATTAAACCTGAATCTTACTAAGTATTTGGATCCACCCATCAAAAAAATTGGTAAATTCTGGTGGCAGTCTTACCTTATTATTATGCTAGCTGTATTCCAAAATTAAAGGAATAAAACTTACAAATCATCTAGTTTGCAATGCTGCTCAAACTGACAATTTCAGCATCACTTTAATGGAGACCATGAAGAACCAGTGTAAATACAATGCTGACACTGCTGGAAATTCTAGCATGTCAGTGCCACTTCACATTAAAAAATCTGTACCATCACTGAAAACCAGCAACTCTAAATTTAGAAAAAAGTAAGAATTAGGATCTGAAGATCAGTACAAGATCCTAAAGCTATCATTAAAAAAAAAAAAAGATTCACTTATTTATTTGAAAGATTACAGGGAGACAGAGAACTTCCATCCGCTGGTACACTCCCCAGAAAGCTGCAATGGCCAAGGCTGTGCCAGGCCGAAGCCAGGAACCAGCAGCTTCACCTGGGTCTCCCAAGTAGGTGGCAGGTGCCCAAACACTTGGACCATCTTCTGCTTTTCCCAGGCCATTAGCAGGGAGTATACTGAAAGTGGTACAGCTGGGATACAAACTGGCACCCATTTGGGGTGCAGTTTTATCCATTATGCCACAATGCTGGCCCCTCATAAAACAATCATTTAAACATTTTTAGAATTTTCCAAGATTTTGGTAATAAGTGACAGAGATTCTAATAAAGTCTAAGGACTCCACAGACCTATGAACCACTACTAGTCAGTATTTATTCTATTATATTTATATGCTGGAGATTAAAGTAAGAAAGGAAAAGGATGTATTAGTTCTTCTGATGACCAGCTTCAGCAAGCAAACGTCAAAACTAATGAATGAACATCCCACAACAATGACATCTTTTTAAACAAATGATTCTATGAAGTACACTAAATTGTAACTAGTCAATATTACTCACCGATTCTTTCTCTACAGTTCGGTTTAGCATGACAACTGCTTTGGTCTTTTGCTGCCAAACCATGAGCCAGAAGTGGCAACACGTATTAGGAAGTGGACCCTGGAAGAACAGAGAAGATGGAGTAGATGATTTTGATTTTGGGTTATAAATGGTCAATACTGACTTTTACAAGTGGTCTTTAAAAAATTTATGAAAATATATATATATATTTTGACAAAACTATACATGGATTTCAAAATTTCTGTGCATCAAAAATAAACACCTTTTAATTTAAGTTTCCCAGTAACTTTTTGTACGAAAATTTTTCATTTATTCTACTTGAAAAGTAAAGAGAGATCTTCCATCCAATGGTTTACTCTTCAAATGCTCACAACAGCTGGGGCTGGGCCAGGCCAACAATGCTGGAGCCAGGAGCTCAGCCTGGTTCTGCTATGTGGGTGGCAAGAAACCAAGTAGTTGAGCCATCACTGCTGCCTCCCAAGGAGTACAAGAGCAGGAAGTTGGATCAGGTGGACTCAAGCCACTCTAATATGGAATGAAGGTGTATCAAGTTCTGAAAAATACCTGCCCCTCCACGAACTTTTTTTTAATGATTTATTTATTTATTTACTTGAATGGCAGAGAGAGAGAGAATCAATCTTTCTTCTGCTGGTTACTCCTCCAAAAGACTGTAACGGCCAGGACAGGGCCAGACTGAAGACAGGAGCTTCTTCCAGGTCTCTCACATGAGTGGTAGGGACCCAAGCACTTGAGCCATCTTCCACAACTTTTCTGGGCACACTAGCAAGGAGCTGGATCAGAAGTAGAGCAGCCGGCACCGTGGCTCACTAGGCTAATCCTCCGCCTGCGGTGCCTGCACCCCGGGTTCTAGTCCCGGTTAGGGTGCTGGATTCTGTTCCGGTTGCTCCTCTTCCAGTCCAGCTCTCTGTTGTGGCTCAGGAAGGCAGTGGAGGATGGCCCTGCACATGCATGGGAGACCAGAAGGAAGCACCTGGCTCCTAGCTTCAGATCGGAGGTGAACCAATGAAGGAAGACCTCTCTCTCTCTCTCTCTCTCTCTCTCTCTCTCTCTAACTATGCCTGTCAAAAAAAATCAAACAAACAAAACACAGGGCCATGCTGTGGTGCAGGTTTACGCCCTGGCCTGAAGCGCCAGCATCACATATGGGCGCCCGTTCTAGTCCCGGCTGCTCCTCTTCCACTCCAGCTCTCTGCTATGGCCTGGGAAAGCAGTGGAAGATGGTCCAAGTGCTTGGGCCCTGCACCCACATGGGAGACCTGGAAGAAGCTCCTGGCTCCTGGCTTTGGATCGGCACAGCTCCAGCCACTGCATCCATCTAGGGAGTGAACCATCAGACGGAAGACTCTGCCTCTCCTCTCTCTGTGTAACTCTGACTTTCAAATAAAATAAAACCAAAAGTTACAGTACAGGCAAGACTCTGCCCTAAAGAGAGTAGTTAACTTGGGATTTTGCATCTGATACTGTCCCTATTCACACTTTGCTTTTGTAGCAACAGCCGGGACACCAGATACAAAATTATGAGTGGGAGTATCTGGTGGGTCATGTTCTAGCTGTAAAGGAGGTAGGAGGCAAAGGAAATTTTATCTCCTTCATCTTCTATAGCAGAGAGGCCCTGCTTCCCAAGGATCATGGAAGTTCCATGGGAAAAAAGGAAGTTTGCACTTGTGAAATTAACAACAAATTTTGAAATGTAAGTACTAGTTTTTAAAAAATGTTCTGGAGGTCAGGGCTGTGGCATACTAGGTTAAGCCTCTGCCTGTGGTGGTTTGAGTCAAGGCTGCTCCACTTCTGATCCAGCTCCCTGCTAATGGCCTGGGAAAGCAGTGGAAGATGGCCCAAGTGCTTAGGCACCTGCACCCATGTAGGAGACCTTGAAGAAGCTCCTGGCTCCTGACTTCAGATCTGCTCAACTCCGACCACTACAGACATCTGGAGAGTGAGTCAGCAGACAGAAGACATCACTCTCTCTATCCCTCTCAAATAAATATATCTTTAACAAAAAAGTTACAAATATGAATAAGAAAAACTTCAAACATTCCAGAAAGGTAGAAAATCAATTCTTGAGAGTAGCCATTGCCAATGATATAATCTATCTAACTTTAACCAGTTCGTCACAGACTTTTCAGTCAATGTCATTAAAATAAGGTTGCATGCTCACATCTATCGTCATGTTTGTTATATTATGTTAACTCTCCATCAAGGTATCTGACCACGCAGTAGAACACACTTTGAAATCTCTACTATGAGAGTCAGCGCTGTGGCACAGTGGGTAAAGCTGCCGCCTGCAGTGCCGGCATCCCATGTAGGCACTGGTTAGAGTCCTGGCTTGCTCCATTTTGATCCAGCTCTCTGCTATGGCCTGGGAAAGCAGTAGAAGATGGCTCAAGTACTTAGGCCCCAGCACCCATGTGGGCACAGCTCTGGCCGTTGCAGCCAGTCGGGGAGGGAACCAGCAGATGGAAGACCTCTCTCTCTCTCTGCCTCTCCTCTCTGTTTAATTCTGACTTTCAAATAAAAAACAAGTATTTTTTTAAAAAAATCTACTATGCAGATAAAAAGTGGTGGATGATTGTTGCTTGGGAGTAGGGGGTGGCACAGACTGCATTTCTGCCATTGAATATAACATCATTCATGGGCCATACAAAATTATCAACTTAAAAGTAAGCCTGGTGGCTGGTGCTGTGGGGTAGCAGGTAAAGCCGCCCGCCGCCTGCGGTGCCTGCATCCCATATGGGCGCCGGTTCAAGTCCTGGCTGCTCCACTTCCAATCCAGCTCTCTGCTGTGGCCTGGGAAAGCAGTGGAAGATAGCTGAAGTCCTTGGGCCCCTGCACCCACGTGGGAGACCCAGAAGCTCCTGGCTTCGGATCAGCACAGCTCCGGCCATTGCGGCCAATTGGGGAGTGAATCAGCAGATGGAAGACCTCACTCTCTCTCTCTTTGCCTCTTCTCTCTCTGTGTAACTCCAACTTTCAAATAAATAAATAAATCTTTAAAAAAATAGAAAGTAAAATGAAAAATATGTTGGGCTCAAATTTTTTTTTTTTTAAAGTAAGTCTGCTATAGGCCGGCGCCACAGCTCACTAGGCTAATTCTCCGCCTAGCGGCGCCGGCACACCAGGTTCTAGTCCCTGTCGGGGCGCCGGATTCTGTCCCAGTTGCCCCTCTTCCAGGCCAGCTCTCTGCTGTGGCCCGGGAAGGCAGTGGAGGATGGCCCAAGTACTTGGGCCCTGCACCCCATGGGAGACCAGGAGAAGTACCTGGCTCCTGCCATCGGATCAGCGCGGTGCGCCGGCAGCAGCGTGCCGGCCGCAGCGGCCACTGGAGGGTGAACCAATGGCAAAGGAAGACCTTTCTCTCTGTCTCTTTCTCTCACTGTCCACTCTGCCTGTCAAAAAACAAAATAAAAAAATTTAAAAAAAGTAAGTCTGCTATAGATTTGTTGAATTTCAAGTCCTGCCTACCAAATGATTCTGCAAGGCTTAAACAACCCCTGAGCTGAACATTCACCATCCTTGCTCTTTCTTTTTTTTTAATTTTCATCTATTCCCAATTTTTGCAAGTCTTTTTTTAAATATAACTCTGTTTAATATTTTTTTAAACTTTTATTTCGTAAATATAAATTTCCAAAGTAGAGTTTATGGATTACAATGTTTTTTTCTCCTGAAAGGTCAGAGTTACACAGAGCGAGGAGAGGCAGAGAGAGAGGTCTTCCATCTGACGGTTCACTCCCCAATTGGCTGCAACAGCTGGAGCTGGCCGTTCCCAAGCCAGGAGCCAAGAGCTAGGAGCTTCTTTCGGGTCTCCCAGGCGGGTGCAGGGGCCCAATGACTTGGGCCATCTTCTACTGCTTTCCCAGGCCATAGTAGAGAGCTGGATCGGAAGTGGAGCAGCCAGGACTTGAACCGGCGCCCATACGGGATGCCAGCGCTTCAGGCCAGGGCATTAACCTGCTGAGCCACAGCGCTGGCCCCGCATCCTTGCTCTTTTGTTTTTGTTTTTTCCATCCCTGCTTTAGAATTACCTTTCCCTAGTGGATGCTTGGAGTATCTTCCCATATGTATGAGGGCACTTTAAAAAGTTCATGGACTATTGAAATAAAAGATGTTTTGGTACAAAAATTTTGAAATAAATGCACAGAGGAGTCTTCAAAAAGTTCATGGAGAGGCAAGCATCTGGCATAGCTATTAACACTCTGAGCCGAAGGGGCCAGTGCTCTGCTCTAGTGTATCCTCAGGGGCACTGGCATCTGTACTCACTTGGGCCTGCAGATGGCCAGACACTTCCGAAGGCGTGGCTGCATTCAGGAAATGCATGCCACCAGAGGGGAAGAGAAGAGCGTCTTTCCAGGGCCTACTGGCTATATGCATGGGTTATTTGAGAACAGGAAGCGCTAGCAAAGCATTACTAAAGCTCTGTGGGAAGTAAAAGGCATGGAAGAGAGTCGACCCAAAGAGAACTGCCTAAGCCATTTCAGAAGATTTTTCCTTCACAAAACATATGACTCTAAAAATGTCTTTGATGTGAAATATTCAAAGTTTCAAAACTTTATGTATTGTGTTTTTATGTTTCAAAAGTTGTTTGTAATTCACTGCATAAACAAACAAAAAATCCAAAATCTAAAACACCATTTTATTTCCAAAAGCAGGCAAGATATACTTTTAGCACTGTTTTAAAGCAGATCCACACGATTCCATTTCCAGGCATCTGTTCGGTATCATACTACTTACCTGTGTTAAAACGTAACTCCTTTGTGCCTCTTCTATGTCAACTAAACTGGCATTAATATAATCATTTTCAGTATTTTGCAGTTTAACACGACTGTGATCATCTGAAAGCAGAGAACAAAAACCATAACTGTCATTGCAAATTTGTCATTTTTTAAAATCTTAACATTAACAGCTTCTGTATTTATAAAAGGGGAAAAGAAATTTGAAAAAAATTGACTAAAGATGAATAAAGTACTTATCTTCCTAGAGTAAAAGGATCATTTAGATTCTTGTGCCTAAAAACTGATTCTATCTACACTCAAGCATATGAGACTGCATTTCCAGTTTCTCCAGGGAAACTGTATTTCATTTTCTTCACTTCTCAACTGATAAACAATCAACAATATTTCAATAATTTTCAACACTTAAAACTATGTTTAGGTTAAGTGCTGAAAAATATTTAAACACAGCTGAAATACTATATTCTTTAAAAGAACAGGGAACATGCTACATTTCTTAAGACTGTTAATATTTTAGACATATTTCTAGCTTTTACAAACAAAAAACTCATATTTAGAACTTATGCTATCTTAAATATGTGAAATATAAAATTTGATATTATTATCATTTTGATAGGAAGACAAGAATGACACAAGGAGAAAAAAAGCAAATGTGCAACAACAGAATTAACATTAACTTAGAATCCTAAATATATATTTGTAAGAGGCATAAAACTGAACTATAAACTGAAAACATGATGCCTGACAATAAGTCTGGAAAATATGCTCTACTATAAGCTGTTCCCCTCAAGGAAATAAGATCCATTCTCTCTCTAAACTAAAAAAATTGTTTATATTATCTCCATATGAAAGGCAATGTTAGGCCAGTGCTGGGGCTCACTTGGCTAATCCTCCACCTGCGGCGCCAGCACTCCGGGTTCTAGTCCCGGTTGCTCCTCTTCCAGTCCAGCTCTCTGCTGTGGCCCAGGAGTGCAGTGGAGGATGGCCCAGGTCCTTGGGCCCTGCACCCGCATGGAAGACCAGGAGGAAGCACCTGGCTCCTGGCTTCGGATCGGCACAGCGCCAGCAGTAGCAGCCATTTAGGGGTGAACCAACGGAAAGGAAGACCTTTCTCTCTTTCTCTCTCTCACTGTCTAACTCTTTCCCAAAAAAAAAAAAAAAAAAAAAAAAAGGCAATGTTAGATGGGTTTCATTTCACACATCAATTTATCTGAGATGTTTTCGCTGGACTAAATCCAAGACCTCTGTAAATATTACATGTCATTTGCCAACAGGAAAAAACTAAGATCTTGTTATAGTAAATCACATATACTAGTGTTCTCGGAAACATGATGTCAGCAAGAACTTTTTTTTTAAATCACTTTTTTTTTTTTAACAGTTTAATCACCCTTTAACCACTACAGCATATGAGATGGTAAAAAGGTCAACTACCTAATCAACAAAGTAAAGACAATATATCTCTCAACATACCAATAGAATAATTTATGCTTTTAGACTGCCATACAATCCCTAAAATTCAAATTTCACTAAAGTATCACAGCAAAGGATGTATTTCCTCCTGTTGTAATCACAGAAAGAACACAAACCCCAAGGCTGTTACTCATATCTATTGCACAACTGAAAACAGCCATTTGACCAACATGCGGGAAGAATCCATAAAAACGGAGAAGGTTCATCTCACAGGGCAATGGGAATCCAATTATCCTGCATGGCACCTTCCCAGACCTCTGCACAACCAGGGAGGAGATAAGCCCAAGAAAAGAACTCCAGCAGTTGGTTTTTAGAGTATTTGATACATTGCCCGAGACTTTAAACAAGAACTCACTACTATTTTCCATCAATATTTAAAATTCACACATTATACATTATATACACAATAATCACAAAATCAGCTTACAAGCACAAATCTATTTCTTGGAGTCAGTGGGGTGCAGGTGCCATCTGAAAGGTACCTGGAGGCCTGCAGGTCTAAGCCCCAAGTAATGGCCTTGTTCCCTGTCTACAACCCTAATTTATACAGAGTCAACAAAAACAAAGGAATATTGTGAATTTTCTCAACTTTTTTTTTTTTTTTTAATTTTGCCAGCAGAAAACACTAACAAAAACAAGGGTATCCTTGAGAAAACTCTAGCTATTTAGAACTGGCTATAAATGTTGGCAGAACTTGTATTTCCTTCTCAGGATTAAAAACAAAATTATCAAAAACATATCCACATCACATAATTCTGAAGATTAGGGACCAGCGCTGTCTGCAGCGCCAGCATCCCATATGGGCACCAGTTCATGTCCTGGCTGCTCTGGCCTTTGCGGGTATCTGGGGAATGAACCAGTGGATGGAAGAGCACCCTCTCTCTGACTCTCTCTCTCTCTAACTACACCTTCCAAAGAAATAAATAAACCGTAAAAAAAAAAAAAATTAACTTTTTGATTCAGAAAAGACTCTGTTGAAGAAAAAACCTGGAGTTTCTGTTCGTAACTAAAACCCTTAAAATAACTATTTTTTTTTAAAGATGTATTTGAAAGAGAGCTACAGAGAGAGGTACAGAGAGAGAGGTCTTCCATCTGCTGGTTTGCTCCCCAGATGGCCGCAATGGCCGGAGCTGTACCAATCCAAAGCCAGGAGCCAGAAGCCTCTTCCAGGTCTCCCCCATGGGTGAGGGGGCCCAAGGACTTGGGCCATCTTCCACTGCTTTCCCAGGCCACAGCAGAGAGCTGGATCAGAAGAAGAGCAGCCAGGACTAGAACTGGCACCCATATGGGACACCAGTGCCTCAGGCCAGAGTTTTAACCCGCTGTGCTACAGCACTGGCCCCTAAAATAACTATTAAAAAAGATCATAAATATACGCATTTCAGGAATCAAAGCTATCAACTTCACAGTGTACATTCTTTAGCAAAGAGAAAGATAAAGCAAAGATAAAGAACACTGCCTCTTTTCCAATTAATAAGCGCTTAACAGATGCTTTATAGTTTCTGTACAGCAGACCCAGGCCCCTGGCACCTGAGAGTCAAATGTCTCCTTTCACCACCCTGCTACTTTCAGTCAGCTACACATCTGTGAGCTTTTCACTCTAAAACAAATCATTAATTTCTGAATTATAAAAAAAAAAGTTACAGGTTTTCTCCTTGCCCAAGAACCTCTGAAATGAAATTATTAAAATAACAGAGTTCCATAATCTCATCCATGTAAGTCAGTCCAAAGCTGACTTCGTCATCATTTTAAGTCTACGGTTACCTCTCTCTTTCCTATGTTGCAAAGGATCCAACAGAGAGAGAAATGAAAATATTTCAAACTACATTACATGAGATGCCGCAAAAGCAACCAAACCAAACTTCCACAGGAAATCTGATTTCTCAACAACTATGAACACCATTAGCAGAACTACACAAACGTAGACTTTTTTCTACAGGGCATCATCTGTTCTTAATTCCTGTCACTCAGAGAATGAAGAAATGCAATGCCCAAACAGAATTGTGGTTTCTAAACTGGATAAAAATTAAGCCAACTTCTGATGAAGAGTCCCTTTACCTCCCATCCTCAAAGAGAATGTTTTCTGAGAAATGGTTTCATCTCATCTCTCGTGAAATGACTAGCTGTAGCTGTGGCCTGAGCTGACAATACAGATCCGCTTCCTCTTTCAATTCTGTCCTAACAAGGCTTTTGTTTGTTTGTTTTAAAAAGCCCACAGGTTTCATCTAATTTATCATTAGAGTATTCCTTTTGGAAAATTTTCCAGGTCAAACTAGAAGATCTACATTCATCTTAACTAATCTCAGCAGGCTACACCAAGGCACAGATTGGGAATAACTAACTCATCAAATGGACTAGGAGAAAACTAATTCTATCAGTAGAGCATTAACATCAGTAGAGCATTAACAATCCAGTTTTCCCCCTAGACTTTCCTATTCTCAATCAATAATTAAACAATAAGTTCTCAAATTGTGATGTCTACCCTTAAATGGTACTTTCCTGATAAAGTTCAAAGCATTTTGTAAGTATGTCAACCCTCTTCAGTCCTACAAGTAAAAAGCTGAGAAACAAATACTATGAATTTCCTTTTACAAATTGGACAAAGAGCCAAAAGGAAAGCTCAAACTAAAACTCAGATCACCATAAACACTACCATATTAATGAAGAAGGATTGCTAACTTGAGTGCAGAGTATTAACATTTCAATTGTTTGCAAAGAAAATTCCATTTAATAAGTGGTTTCTAACTGACTATCTATGACATGCCAGGTGCAGTATGACACACCTTACTTGTTGCTTCTCTTATTCCTCACAAACCTATGAAGGGAATATTATGTTCAATTTACTGACAGTGAAATAAAGTCATTAGTGTAAGATAATACAGTAGGGAAACACAAAAGGGATTCAAAGCTCTGACTGTGTATACTGCAGCTATACACACATTTCCCACAGTACCTTGGCTCTCCTTCCTACATCCACACTGATGCCTTTACCAGCTTTTCTACCTACTCTCCTGATATCACCCTTCAGACAGTTTTTCACTTCCAGCGTTATTTTCATCTCATCTCTCACACAAACACCACTTTCTAAATGATCTGGCCTTGACTTCTCTCTTCTAAAGAGCTTCTCTGAGGGAGCCGCCATCATAATGGTCTCTCTCACTCTTCCCAATAGTATCTCAGAGCTCATATATGAATTTTTTTTAAAAGATTTATTTTATTTATTTGAAAGACAGAGCTACAGAGAGGTAGAAACACAGAGAGAGGTCTTCCATCCACTGATTCACTCCCCAGATAGTCAACGGCTGGAGCTGTGCCGATCCGAAGCCAGGAGCCAGGAGCTTCTTCTGGGTCTCCCATGCGGGTGCAGGGGCCTGAGGACTTGGGCCATTTTCCACTGCTTTCCCAGGCCACAGCAGAGAGCTGCATCATCAGAAGAGGAGCAACCAGGACTAGAACTGGCGCCCATATGGGATGCCGGCGCTTCAGGCCAGAGCTTTAAGCTGCTGCACCACAGCGCCAGCCCCCATATGTGAATTTTAGGCAACATTTTAAGAGCCAGGCAACAGGGACATCAAGATAACATATTATTTGTTTAGATTTTTTGCTTTTTAAAAGATTTATTTATTTATTTG